TTTTAATGCTGACCCAAGTTAAATTGAGATTATTATTTTTTAACAAAAGTAAAAATTATAGAGATTGGACAAAAATTAAATAATGATGAAGTGAAAAAATAAATAGAGATATGTATAGCTTAGAAAAAATTAGTTGTTTGTTATTCAGTAGTTGATGTAAAAAGATGTACGAGGTTAGCTGTTATTTTTATCTAGTTTGCTTTGAAAAATAAATTAATGAAATGGAAGGAAAAAAACTTGATAATTATAATATATAAGTTCTTATTATAGAAAGATGCATTCTTTAGTCGCTGAACTGTAAATGTCTGAAAATTCTAGTAAATAATTCCAGATTGTGTTCATTTATCAAAAAAATAAGTTCCGTCTTGAAATATTTTTAGAGTGACGCCCATGGGTGTCACCAATGTGGGGCTAGTAATCATCTACAATGTCAACTTTCATCTATGAAAAGATATACCACTATAGAATCGAGTTAACATGTTTTATATACTAGGGAATCGGAATTGAATTTTTGTAGTGGTAGGTACACTTCAGTTCTATTATATTTTTAGCTCTATGCCTTAATTTTATAATTTTATTTTCAGGGCTCGTTCTGTTTACGAAAGAGCTTTGGCAGTTGAACACAGAAATGTTACCTTATGGCTGAAATATGCTGAAATGGAAATGAAGTAAGTTATAATTTTAAAATAAAAAAATTTTATCATATATTTTATCCTAAAAAGTTTGGAAAAAAGACATTTTAGAGTATTTTTTAAGAAAATGGAAAGAAGCTTTTAAAAAATATAGGGTGGCCACCCACCTGGAAAACCTGAAATTATCAGGGAATTTTTTTATACTGGAAAAATCAGGGAAATTTTGACAGAATCCTGGAAAAATCAGGGATTTTTTAAAGAAAAGCTGGAATTTTTTCTTTGATTTGTCTTAATTTTACGAATTTAAATTATTTACTAATTTTCTTAATTAAAATTATTTTACCAACCGTTATACCCACTTTTAGAGGAAAATTTATTGCCAAAACAGTTGAAAAACCATCAACTTATCAATATTTTGCTTGCATCAAAATTTGATTCATTGATGGTCTCCCATGGTTTTTTAAAGAATAGAGAACCTTTCCAAGTCACCTCATTCCCGTAAGGTGACCTGAGACCACTCTATCCTGTGAGCAGGGCTGATTGTGCTCCGGAAAAATCCGGATTTCCGGAATTTTCGCTAACAGTGTTCCGGAAGTTTCCGAAGATCGAAGGTCCAGACGTTTCGAAAAATCATTGATCACAGAAGTTTCTGGAAATCAAATTTTCAAAGGTGGAACTTAAAAACACAATTTATTTTATTTGTTTGTAAGGAAGGGGATACTTCATAAGCTTATATTCGTGATTAATATTAATTTTTTATAATCATAAACTCATGAAAGAAAGACATATTTCTAAATTTTAATTACTTCTCCAGGTCATCATAGGTATGTGTAAATGGTATAGGTATGCGTAAAATTTTAATTATATTTTAAGCAAACTGAGAAATAATGAGAAAAAGGAAAAAAACCTTGTTTAAATTTTTCATTTTTTTTATTTTTTATTTCTTTATTTTTTTTTTAACTTAAGAAATTTTCCAGAATTTTGACTGGGGCTCACAATCACCTGTGATTGTGATCACAATTGCTGTGAATCAAAGATGATAAAATAACATTAAAAAAATAATATTTTAAATAAAATACTTTATAATATTGACACTTTTCTTGTACCCATCCTAAACTTTATGAGGGGAAAAAAGCACATTGACCTGGAAAGTTTAGGATTTTTACCTTGAAAACCTGGAAAAATCAGGGAAATTTGAGCGGCCACCCTGAAATAGAAAGTAGATATTATTACCACTTCACCTCGTTTATATTTTTGTTTTATTCACAAAAATAGTTTTTGTCTTTTTTTCTTCCTTTTCACAATTTTTGTTTTGTTTTGAAATGTTGAAAATTATCAAAGGGAACAATTTTCTATCATGCATTTTTCCATACCTATATAAAAAACTAGAGAAAATAAACATTCAATGACTTTATTCATCATTCTAAACTTTTTTTTAAACGTATTCTAATGTTACTAATAAAAACAATGTACAACCTTTATTTGCGTAAAGTGCCACTTTCACATCAGTTAGACTAAAGAAGGGCAGCATTCATACTTAGACATGCTGACTCAAATGTGGTCATAATCGAACATTTTTAAATAAATAAAAAATATATTCTTCGCACTAAATTTCTTTTATCAGTAAACTTAGTAATACATTTTTAGAAAAGTAATACTTATTTTAAAAAATCATTCAAAAATGAAAAAAAAGATTTTTTTTAAATATCTTTTTATTAAAAAAAATTTAAAAAATATGTATATCTAGTACAGAACCCGTTATCCGGAAATCAGAAAACCGGAACAAAATTCGATACATTTTCCCGCCATTTTTTTAAAAAAAATGTTTTTTTCTTCATAAGATTTTAGGATTTTTCTTTCTTTTTTGAAAGATGCTTACCTTACCATCATTTTGGAAATAATCATTAGTGTATTACTTCATCGTTTTTTCTTCTTTTTAAGATTATTTCCAAATAGTTTTTTTTTTTTTTTAGTTGGGTTTAACAATAAAAAAACGGCTTTTTGTAGCGATTCAGAAAACCGGAAAAATCAGTTATCCGGAATAGAGATGGTCCCGATCGTTCCGGATAATCGGTTCCCTACTGTATAAGCATTATAGGAATTTTTTTTCTTTATCATACTAAAGTTCATTTATAAACAAACAAAACATCGAACGGAAGGAAAAAAACTAAATTGCTTATAGAATGAAAGAATAAAAATAAAATTAAATACATATTTTAGTGAGTAATATAAATTTAAATTAAATATTTTAATTAGTGGAAATTTATAGGGTTTAAACAAGAACTAAAATTAAAATGAAACGGTTATAGTACAAAATGAGTACCAAGCATGCTTGTGAACTAAACACTTTGGATTTCGCGTTCAGGTGACCACCTAACCGGAGCACCTGCTTCTACACCCCAGATCCCAAGATCAAGAAAACTGAGATGAGCATAGTAGGCCATGGCCCTCTATGGGCTGTTGTGCCACTGAGTTTAGTTTTTATACATAAAGACTAGCATTAAATCCTTTGATTGTTAAATGCTGTTTATTTAGGGATTCATTCATTTCCACTAGTTATATTTAAGTTTTGTCCATTATGTATAATCTTACTAATGGTCACTTTCATATGTTAAGTAATATTTATGTTTTTGTGCATTGTAATTCAATCTTATGTAGTTAAAATCTTATATTGCTAACCTTTTGTTAAGCAATAAAAAAAAAATTTTATTATTAAATGTCAGATATTGTGCATGATATATCAATGCTCTTGTTAAAAGTTTGAGAAACTGGTTATAAGTCTTTATTATATAATATTAAATTTCAGACTTTTAAATATAAATATGGAAATATGAATATGGTGTTAAAATTTGTGGGCGGTAAATTAGTAACACATAGCTGCCAACTCTACTGGATCTTGCAAGTTTCTCCTGGTCTACTGGTTTAATTAAAATTCTCCTGGTTTTTGTACATTTTAGAAAATTCCCTAAAATTGAGTCAGTTTCTTTAAAAAAATCACTATTGAAATAAAATTTTTGTACAGATTATTGTTTACTTGCTAGAATATTTAAATAAGTATTACTAATACATAAAGAAGCAATCCATGTTAATAGTAATCAGTTCAAAACTTTTTTTATTCTAAAATGTTCAGTTTATTTTTATTTAGATTAAATTGATTAAAAAATCTTTTAACCATCTTCTATGAATTAAATGCCTATTAATATTCGAAATTATGAGTAAACATAATACATAACATTTCTGTCATGTTTTGTTTAATGTCCATCATAAGTGGAAAATATTGCAGTTTTTCTATTTTGATGACTACAGGGTGCGTTCTGAAAGTAATGTGCATTTTCTGGGAAAAATAGATTTATTGATCCTATTTGTACAAATGGTTAAAATTCTTCAAAATAGTTCCCCTGTGCATCAATACACTTGCGGAGACGATTCTGCCACTCTGGAACTCCTCGACAGGAATGCCTCTCAGGAACATTGTAACATGAGCTTGGATGTTCTTAACCGACTCCCAGTGCGTTCCTTCAGCTCTCGTTTCAGTCGGGGGAGCAAGAAAAAGTCACACGGTGCCTAGTCAGGGCTATAGGGAGGCTGGGGCACCAACTCATCAATTCCAGCAATTCTTCACTGCGCAAAACTCGAACTTCTTTTTGCTCCTCCGTCAACACCTTCGGCACAAGCTTTGCACAGACCCTTCGCATTTGCAAATCCTCCGTCACAATCCCATTTACCACACATTTTGACAAGTTTAGGATGCAAGCGATTACCTGAATGTTTAACCGACTGTCTGATTTCATAACTTCACGCTCATGCTGGACATTTTCATCGGGTTGGGCTGTTGTTGGGCGTCCAGAACAAGGCTCGTCGATGACCTTCTCCCGACCCTTCTTGGAGGCCTTGTGCCACCTTCCACACTGAGATCTCGGAATGCATTCCTCCTTAAAGTCGTCTTGAAGTATGTGATGATTTTCCGTCGCATTATTTCCAAGTTGCACACAAAACTTTATCGTGTACCACGGTTCCAGCAAACGAACACTCTATCACGCCGTGACTCAATCGAAAAAAGACTTTGCGTGAAGACACGTCCTACCTCTCCCATTGCTCGGAACAATTTGAGACTAGGCTTGTTTGGAAGGACAAAACCCCCACCACATTTTTTGCCCAATCTGGGTGCGCTGCTATCAATAGTCACAATAAAATCATGTGCATTACTTTCAGAACGCACCCTGTATAAATTTCCCTGTGTTTTCCTCGTGCAATTTATATTATTCCATGAAATCTACTTGAGTTTTTCTTATCCGTGTTGGCAGCTATGGTAACACTAAATATTAATGATTAAAATTGCAAAAAATTTTGTTTGCTCTTCCTCCTTTTTTGTAATCTTGCTTTTCCTGCTTTGTAATTGTTAGTTACTGTTTCTAGGCATCGCCAAGTAAATCATGCTCGCAATATTTTTGACCGTGCGGTCACTATTCTTCCCCGAGTGAGCCAGTTCTGGTACAAATACATCTACATGGAACAAATGCTGGACAAAGTTGCAAGTGCCAGGCAAGTGTTTGAGAGATGGATGGAGTGGCAGCCAGACGAGCAAGCCTGGCTCACCTACATCAAGTTTGAGTTGAGGTTCAAAGAAATTGAACGTGCTCGAGAGATTTACGAACGTTATATCCTTTTATTTTATTTAATCAGACATCTACAAAGAATTTTTTGTTTTTAATTTTGAACCTTTTTTTCCAGCAAAACAATGAAATTCTTTTAATTGCTCAACATGCTAACTATAAAACTTAAGTTTTTTAAAAAAAAGAAACATTTTCTTTTTGATAGGTGTACTTATTGACCAGCATCACCAGGGCCTTCTTCATTATTCTGTGTTTGGATACTGAAGAGGGTCCAAACAATTTTACATCTGTTTATTTTATTTTATTTTTCGCGTTGTTTAGCTTTATTTATTAAATTGTTGATTTCAATATTGTTGAAGTGAGCTGGATAGTTTAATTTGTCGTATTTCTTAACTGATTTTTCGGACACTTCATATGATACATCAGTATTTTAAATATGGCACTCAAGCTGTTTTCAGCATTGATGCTCAAAACTAATCACTATTAATCTAAGAGCCATAAGTAAAAAGCGAAATTTCAAGAAAATAATTATAATAAATTTCTAATTTGATTCTCAGTAATTTGAAACTGTACAAATAGGCATGACTTGACAAATAACAATATATAAAATAATCTTTATTGTATATAACTTAGATTTTTAATAAGAAAAAATAAATTTAACTTTTGTTCTGAGAAGATTTCTTTTATATTTATATTTCTGTTCTGTTATATTTCTGTTCTGTTATATTTCTGTTCTGTTATATTTCTGTTCTGTTATATTTCTGTTCTGTTATATTTCTGTTTTGTTATATTTCTGTTCTGTTATATTTCTGTTCTGTTATATTTCTGTTCTGTTATATTTCTGTTCTGTTATATTTCTGTTCTGTTATATTTCTGTTCTGTTATATTTCTGTTCTGTTATATTTCTGTTCTGTTATATTTCTGTTCTGTTATATTTCTGTTCTGTTATATTTCTGTTTTGTTACTTCTGTTTAATAATGATTGAAAAGTTAAGTGATATTATAATAAATTTGATAGCTCTAAAACACTGTGGATGAAGGGCTTGAGACCAGAATGACAGGGAAATGGTTAAGGGGAAAAATTAGACTTATAAGTGAAATGTAGTTTTAGATGGAAAACGCCACAATTTCTTTGGGGGCAATAAGATGTACTGTTATAACTTGCACACTTGTATTGAAACTTTAAAACCTATGTGGAAACAAAACTAAAGGTTAGTTCACTTTTAAAAAAGGGTTGCCACTTTTCAGGGAAAACCTGGAAAATACAATTAATTTTGTTTCTTATTTTTGTCTTTTAAAAAATTGTGACCACTCAAAGTGTAACCTGTAGGATATTTAAGGATGATATTTCAGTTATACTCAGGGGTCTGACTAGGTTTTTTTAAGAGCTGTCTATTTTGTGAAAATTGAGACATAATTTGTGAAAATTGAAAATTATGTTAAAAAAAACAACACAAAAATATGGTAAAGTAAGAAAATATTTTCAAATATTGTCACTACAAATAAAAACCATTTATAACTGCTAAAATTTTATATATTTTTCCCCATATATTATGAAACTCTATAATATTATATATAAAACTATATAATATTATATATGAAACTATTTTGCTATTGTAAAATTTTGAGCTTAAAAATTGTATCCAAATTTAAAAATCATTGTCTATAGTTAAATTTCAATTTGAATAAAATATAATCATGCGTTTAACATTACTAGCACTAAAAGTTATTTTCATTATGAGAAAATTTTTGACTAGGTTATACAGAAAAAAGTTTCAAAGAGAAAAAAAAAACATTTCATTGAAAAGGTCTTTTAGAATTAATTTAGAATAATGTTTGAGATAATAATTCGAATTTCGACATCCTGTGAAGTTCACAGAAGGAGAGCATCGTCGTTTCATTTTTGAAAAATCATGGGGAAAGAAAAGTGTTGTTACAAACAGGGTGGGAAGTGAATTCTTTTATTACGTCATAATAGCAATCGGCCAGAGGGCAGGCCTGAAAGCGAGACGGAAAAGAGAAAATACTGGTAGAACTATTTCAATATTAGATAATATTCGAGAGAATTTTATCTAGTCTTAACAATAAACAATCACTGTAATTAATATTTTCTGGGCGAAGAAGCAATTCAATATAAAAATTGTATCCGTTAAAAACCATTGGTAGTTATAGATTTTTATGATTCCCGAAAAAAAATTAAAAAATTACATTTATTTGTTACTAGTTTTTACTCTTTTCCGTCTTGGTATATATGGGCTTTCAGCCCTGCCAGACGGTTCCATTGCCAGTCGAAATGCATAATTAACCCGGGATTTATCGTTTTTTTAGGGGGACACAAAAACAATATTTTAAGAGGCACAGAAGAGAATCTTAAAACTTGCTTTTTTAAAAGTATCTTGTGAAATTACCATTGCATTTGTGAAAGTACCGCGAAACAGTAGTAAATATACCCTAGACAGATCCCTGATGTAAGTATGTTCAGCTGTTCCCTTTTTCCTCTAAGTTTTTCCCTCCATTAAATTTACTATAGTTATCCCCAATTATAGCTAATGCAAGAACACAGTAACAGGGTTGCCACAGGCGACTGAAATGCAACTATTTACAACTATTTTCAGCATGAGGCGACTATGACAACATTTTTTGCCTGAAAAGGCTAAAAAAGCAATTATTTTCAGGAAAAGGAGACTTTCCTGTACTCGTAGCGATGATTTTTTAGCATAAAGTGGAATGTTTTTTTAGAATAAATTGGGTTGAAAACTTGCAGCTCGCGAAATCTTCTGAACACACTGAATTTCTTTTCTTAAAAGATAAAAAATGTAAAGTAAAATTAAATTTGAAAATATTAAATAAATAATTAAAACAATAAAAAATGAAAAATTTTAGATTGCAAATTTGAGTCATCACTTTTTAATGCATTCAATTTGCACAAATTTCGTCGCAAGTTTATTTCGTTTCTCGATCTCCTTTTCAACGGTTATTGCTACGAAATTCTGCAAGATTTTAAAAACCCCAATTTTTAATACAATATTAAGATGCATGATTTTTTAATTTGAGTAATCACTTTTCACACTATATATATATGCCAAATCAATTATTGATAAAAGGGAAAATTTCTTGAATAAGTGTTTTTTTTTTTAATGAAAAAGTATTTTTTGAATGAATTCTAGTAATTAAAAGTATTTAATTTTCTACAAATATACAATTTTTTTTTATATAAAATTTTATTGCTAGAATACTACCGTTTATATAAAAATTATCATATTTGCCACCAGCTTGACTAAATGGATCATGGTATATGAAAATTGAGTCATTTAATAAAATTTTTCTCTTATTTTTGCTGAATTTTTGTTCTTATTTAGGCAACTATTTTCATGCTCTAGGCTACTAAAAGCAACTATTTTATTCATTTTTTTTCTGTGGCAACCCTGCAGTAATAGCTCTGTTTCTTCATAATATATTGTGTATAACATGTACGGGGAAAACACAGGAAATTTTATTTTCTTCCTGATTTGAGTGGCAACTCTGAAAAATGACATATTTTTACAAAAAGTTTGACTTATCACCTCAAGTCTTTCATCTGTTCATGTAATGAATTCTTTGATAACTGTGCAAAATTTATGCCGTTTAAATAATTTTAACTTTAAAATTAATGATTTGGTGAAGAAAAAAAAGCATTGTAATAAATTTAAAAAGCAGTACAGTTTATTAATATCTTCTGGATCAGCCTTCAAAATATTAAAAATTGTCGGATCTTTTTTTTAAAAAAAATACTCTTTTTTTAAAAAAAGAGTAAGACTATAATACAAGTGTTATTATAAGAATTTATTTTAAAAACAGGATTGTTCTGTTTATTAGTCTGTCAGTAGTTGCCACTAATTGCTACAAACTAATGTTTCTTTATATCACATTACTCGCTATTCTACTTTTTTTAACAGGGTTCGTAGTGTTTTTAAAAAGTGCCTAAAGGTGCTTATTTTTGATTTTCGTTTTTTAAAAGCCCTTAAAGGTGCTTTTTTTCATTGGGAGTGTTTGAAAAGTGCTTAATTCTCCCTCTTTCAGAATAATAATTTTCGTTTACTATGTTGATTTTCACTTCGAATTATGCGAAAAGACACAGTTTCCGTTGTTCTATTCAGCATTTTCACAATTAATTCAACCTTAATTTATTTCGGCGTATTGCCTGTCCGTAGCGTAAGAAAACGCTATTCGTTTTACATGATTTGAAATTTCATGATTTTTTTGACAATTGTCAAAAACAATGCCAAAAAGTTCTTTGACATGACAGTTAAAACAAGATAAAACAGTCAATTGTCAAAAACTTTCCCACTCTGCGGAATTATCTTTTTTTAAAGTGCTTAAAAATATTTTTTGTTGAATAATTTGGCTACGCACCCTGTTTAAAAAGTAAGCGGCGAACCTTTATGCACCAACCTGCCATTTTTAAAAAATTTTTTTTTTTAATGTGGTCATAGACGTGCTGTCAAATAATTTTGTCTTCTCAATTATTGAAAAAATAATAATACAAAATAGTATCAACTCAAACTATTTATAATGAAAAAAAACAACACATTTTGCAATGTCTCAGTTATACTTGTTCAACTTAAAGTAACAAAGAGTGTGCCTTCTGTTGTTGCAGATTAGATGACAAATAACTTACATTTGGTTGTAAAATGTTAGTTTAAGCAAGAAAATAATTATAATAAATTTCTAATTTGATTCTCAGTAATTTGAAACTGTACAAATAGGCATGACATTCTAAAATGTTCANAGAGTGTGACTTCTGTTGTTGCAGATTAGATGACAAATAACTTACATTTGGTTGTAAAATGTTAGTTTAAGCAGGACTGTTATTTTATTATTATTTTTTTGCTAGTTATTTATTGTTAGCTTGTTTTTTATTATTATTTTTCTTTTGGCATTAATTGTTAATTTTTTTGTTAATAATTGTTTTTTTCTTGTTTGCTTTTTGCGAATTCTAATTTAATTGTCAATATGCATCATAGTGAATTTTATGATCGGTGGCGTGCTCAAAATATTGTGTCTCGTGCCATTGGTTCGCCATCCCTGTACTAAACAAATCTACTAACCACGAAAAAAAGTTGCAGGTTAGCTCCGACCACTGGTTTTCAGAATATCTCTTTCTAAAATATTTGATGCTATATGTCAGTCCTTAACTTTATTTTCACTTGTAATTTGTCATCCTGATGTGAAGAATTGGATAAGGTTTGCCAAATTTGAAGAGACGAACGGATTTATCCTCAGAGCGAGAACTGTTTATGAACGATCTGTGGACTTTTATGGAGAAGAATTCATGGATGAGAAACTCTTTGTTGCTTTTGCTAAATTTGAAGAAAACCAAAGGGAGGTAAAGGCATGACTTTTTATTTAAGATATTTAAAAAAATTATTTGCATTTTAAGAGGCAAAGGTTATTGTGCTCTCAGGTTATCTGCACACCTGGAAAGTCATGAATTTAGGTATTGAACAAAATTTGTCATGAAATGTCATGATTTTAACTATTTTTTAAAAAAATAATGAAAAGTCATGAATTTAGGTCTCCGAAAAATCTAATTTTTAAAATGGAATCCCCTCCCCTTCCCCAATTTCATGATGTTCCGAATATCTGAATGTGTAACAAAATCCCCACTCACAGTCATATTTGATTAAAATATAAAATGTTTTTATCGTGTTCTTTAAAAAATTATGGTGTTCTTTCAAAAAATGAAAGAAAAAAAACATAATTTCTAGAGCGAATTATCTTTTAAATGTCTGTGATTTCTGAATTTTTGTAATTATTTTTTATTTTATCAATTTAAAATTTTAGCTGAAGGCAAGCCAGTCATTGGCAAGTTTTTCTATTCCGAAATGAGAGCAGAAAAATCTGGAGTATTATTTTCCTTTCCGATGAACAAGAAAAGTATCTTTAGAATGTAATTCTGCAGAAAAAAAAGGAGAAAAAAATTATTCGCTTTTGTATTTTTTTCAGCTATTTTATTGCTTCAATTCTTTCTTTGCTCTGTTTTTTTTGTATTTAAAATCTGTAAATATGAAGATGCAGAGTATAAGTTTTGATTATACCTATCATTTCAATGAATTATTTTGTAAAGCTTTTTTAAATTTATTGTTGTGTTTTTGTTGGAGAAAATAGTAACTTCATTAAGTCATGAAAAATTCTTGGAATGAGTCATGAAATGTCATGAATTTGAAAATCTAAAATGTAGCAGATACCCTGGCTTTGAAAAAATTCGGCATTTTACCCTAACCGCGTTCCGGAAATCCTAGGTCCAGAAATTTCAAGAAATCATCAATCACATTTATGTATAAAAATTCTTGTATATTTTATTTAAAAATATTAGAACTGGAATTTATACTTCACATCTTTCATTTGTAAATATTTTTTTCTATTAGAATAATAAATGTGATTAGAGATAAAAGTAAACTTATACATAATTATTCATTTAAATTATGCTGCATATAATTTATTTAGAATTTCATGTTTTAAAAGTAGCAATGCTCTAAATTTATAAAGACAATAATTTTTTTTTAAATGCGTCATTAATGATTTTACTCAAGAAATTTTTAGGATTTTTGAGTTGGATTCACAATCACCCCTAAAGCAGTTAAATAGATACTATGTGATTTTTCAAAATGTTTACTTGCTTCAGTAATTTTAGATGAAAGTAGTTAAAAAAAAAAAAGATTAGTAATAAAAAAAAATGGTTGTTGTGAAACAAAAGTGATAAAGAAGAAAGATTTTAGTTTAAAAAAAAGTGAACTTATGTTCAAACTTATTAATATTTTAAAATATGCTGACAGATCTGCATCGTCATGACTTGCCTGGTTAAAGTACATTAAAAACTCTGTAGAATGTGGCCAGTTCTATATTATCTCAATGTTTGAACATCTTCCTGATATAATCATAGCAGGTCACAAATGTAAAGAAACACATTTATAGTTTGTCTGGAGTAAGAACTCCCCATGCCATTTTATTTTATAACCGACATTGAACAGCCGACTCAATTTTTGGGCTTACGACCACTCATGTTCAACGCTGTAGCCTTGTAATTTTGAACCCAATCCGGAAGACAAGGGAACTCCTGGATCAAGTATTGGGAGAAATTTGCCTTCGTGGAGGACTTTTTGATTGAACTAACCCTCATTTGCGTTACATGGAGAGGAAGACCACGAGAACCTCCCACGATTAGCCTGACGGCAAAGGGACTCTAACCCGTGATCCGTCTACCACTGAGGATATTTCATGTCAGCACTGTGGTCGTGGTCGGTGCAAGCCGGATGAGGGATTAGTATCGAGTGGGATTTGAACCCGGTTCACTGCGTTGGACGGCAATCGCTCTATCCCCTCAGCCATCACGGCGCTCCCCATGCCATTTGTCTGGATCCGTGGCCGTAAGGTGGTGTAACTACTTCAAGTGGGTGTGTGGGGTCACTGTTTAGGAGAGGTTTTGGCTTGGGTCGGCAAGAGAAAGGGAATATTTTTCTTCAGGTCTACTATGTTAGTTCTTGAGGGAAAAGTAGCTACCTTCCCTGAAATGCGCTTTTCTTGTTTCCATAGCAGCAGACGGCCTCAGACTTAGTGGAAGGGGGAGTTCTTACCGTAGACAAACTATAATAAGGAAAATATATAAAGGAGAAACTTCTTCTCCCTTGGATTTCAGTTAGTCATCTGGCACAGATTCAACACATACATGCAGTCAAACTCCGCTATAGTGAACACGGTTTATAGTGAACTCCCGGATATAGTGAACGAAATGTTAGGTCCTGTGCATTGCTATACACGTATAATGTTATTTTTTGTGGATATAGTGAACCAAAAAAGTGAGGAAGTTGGATATAATGAACTTTTATCTGTCTTCAACTGATTTTTTTCTTCATTTTTTTGTAAAAAGTTTGAAATTTTTACTTTAAAATAAATACATATACCGATTTTTAAAACCATCTATAGAGTGGAATTTAGCGATAAGCTTCTTTTATCTCACTTTCCCATCTCTAAACAAACCAAGCAGATATTTCCAACCCTGGAAGATAGTGCACCTGTAAGGTGTCAGTGGAATCAATATGGATTTTCTGTCAGGATTGCTCATCAGCTAAAGATTACTAATTTTTATTTTTTTTGTAAGCAAGACGAAGAGTAATAAAAAATAACACATTTTTTATTACTAAATAATATTTTTCAGTCATTTATTTAAATAATGTGTAAAGGGAGGAGTTTGGGAGCCATTAGTTAAATTGCCTGCGGAACGGATATAGTGAACCAAAATTTCGGTCCCTTGAAGATTCACTATAGCGGGGTTTGACTGTATTTACGTTTCAATTATACACATTGAGTTCTGTGTAAAAGGGAAACTACTCTTGACAAACTTAGTTATAACATGTTTTCAAAAATGTGCCTTATTAAACGTGTTATTTTTTAATATTCCAATTTGATTATAAAGTTTTACTTTATAGTTACTTCAATGATGATGATGATGAAAGTAAAGATTATCATTATGATTTAAGCATCAATATTTTGTTTATACATTATTGGTATTTCTTTTCAATACTAACTATTTAGTTGCTTATGAATGTGATATGAATAAATTCTAATGAGATTATGATTTATTACAAACTTAATGGTCTTCCTATATCATTTAAAAGTGTAAAAACTCTTATATGAGTTATTTTTTAAAAATTTATTTTAGTCTTGATTCTCATTATTCTAATTACGACTATTAATTTTAAGTTTTCACACAAGTAAAAGTGAAGTTAAAAACTTATCTTGCTACTCCATCGGGGTTCATCTGGGATGAACAGGGGTGATTGTACTCCGGAAAAAATCCTGATTTTTCGCTAACCGCGATCCGAAAGTTTCAGGGAATCCAAAGTCCAGAAGTTTCAAGAAATCATCGATCACATTTATATATAAAATTCTGGTATATTTTATTTAAAAATATTCGAACTAGCATTTATACTTGGCATCTCTTTCATTTGTAAATATTTTTTCTGGTAGAATAATAAATGTGATTAGAGATAAATGTTAACTTACGCATAATTATTCATTTTTAATTATAATTCATTGGTAATGTCATGTTTTGAAAATTTCAATGTTTTAAATTTATAAGGATATTAATTTTTTGAATGATTTTACTCAAGAAATGTTCAAGATTTTTAAGTTGGGCCCACAATCACCCCTGGATGAACGGCTTTCTAGAAAACAAATTATATTAAAGCATCCAAAAATCGAATGATTAAAAATTGAAAACTATTTTAATTCAACATTAATGGACAAATCTATAACTACACATTAAAGAAATAAGGGCAAAAACAAGAGACAGGACTATAGAGCCATAGATCATACTAAAAGAGAAAATGTGAATATTAATATACATAAAGCATGATAAAGTTTCAAATGTTCATTTGTTTTTGACAACTGAAATAATGCAAATGAATAATTAAAATAAATAAAAATTAAAAAATTTTTTATAGTTGAATTCATATAGAATCATAGCTGCCAACTCTACTGGATTTTCCAGTAGACTACTGGTTTTTGCCAGTTTCTCCTGGTCTACTGGTTTAATTAAAATTCTCCTGGTTTTTGTAGATTTTAGAAAATTCCCTAAAATTTGGTAAATTGCCTAAGAAAATCCCTATTGAAATAGAATTTTTGTACTGATTATTGCTTGAATATTTTAATAAGCTTAACTAATACATAATGAAGCGAACCTCAATTGTAGAAATCAGTTCAAAACTTTTTTTTATTCAGAACTCTCTTTTTAAATTAATTTAAAAAAAATCTTCTAGCTTGGATGAATTACATGCCTGTTAATATTCGAAATTATGATTAAACACAATACATAACATTTCAAGTATGTTTAATGTCAATCATAACTTTCTATTTCGATAACAATAAAAATCACTTAAATACCCTATGTGTAAAGTTTTTAGTACATTATGCAGCAATTATCATGAAATTTATATTGTTTCGTAAAATCTACTGGATGTTTTTCTGGCAGCTATGTAGAATTATAAATAAGAAAAATGTATAAAATAATTAAATGGTAATGAGGAACTTTTATGAAGCAAATTCTGTTATTTACTGATTATATTGTACTGAAGCATTTTCTTGTTAGACATGAAAAATTTGAATGTTTTTTAATCACTTATATAGAATTATACTACATAGTTTATAATTTATTTCTNCCTGGTCTACTGGTTTAATTAAAATTCTCCTGGTTTTTGTAGATTTTAGAAAATTCCCTAAAATTTGGTAAATTGCCTAAGAAAATCCCTATTGAAATAGAATTTTTGTACTGATTATTGCTTGAATATTTTAATAAGCTTAACTAATACATAATGAAGCGAACCTCAATTGTAGAAATCAGTTCAAAACTTTTTTTTATTCAGAACTCTCTTTTTAAATTAATTTTAAAAAAATCTTCTAGCTTTGATGAATTACATGCCTGTTAATATTCGAACTTATGATTAAACACAATACATAACATTTCAAGTATGTTTAATGTCAATCATAACTGGAAAATATTGAAGTTTTTCTATTTCGATAACAATAAAAATCACTAAAATACCCTATGTGTAAAGTATTTAGTACATTATGCAGCAATTATCATGAAATTTATATTGTTTCATAAAATCTACTGGATGTTTTTCTGGCAGCTATGTAGAATTATAAATAAGAAAATTGTATAAAATAATTAAATGGTAATGAGGAACTTTTATGAAGCAAAAAAAAAAACTTATGGACATTTTCTTGTTAGACATGAAAAATTTGAATGTTTTTTAATCACTTATATAGAATTATACTACACTCATGTCCATAAATTAAGGATAATGAAGTTCAGGCACAGAAAGCGACAGAAGCCAAACAAATTTGACTTATTTGTAAAGTCTATTTGTAAACTGTAAAGAGCAAAAAAGATGCTATATGTTTGACATAATTAATAAAAATTGCAATTTTTACTCCCTGGAGCAAATTTACGAAAAACAGTATAACATGGTTAGTATGATGGTTAATGCGGAGTATGTCTCCCGGACGATGCAATACAGGCTGTACAACGCCTAGGCATGCTGAGTATCAAATTATCAATCTGATCTTGGGGAATATTACACCACTCATCAAGCAATGCCCTCCAAAGGTCCGGTAGACAGGCGGGAGGGTGTTGACGGGTAATTCATCGGCCAAGCATATCCCACACATGCTCTATTGGATTCAAGTCGTGTGAGTATGCTGGCCAATCCATACGGATGATATCCTCCGATTGAAGGCATTCATCTACAATGTTTGCACGGTGAGGACGAGCGTTGTCGTCCATAAACAGAAATTCAGCACCTATGCCGCCCCGAAACAACTGTACATGTTGTTCCAGAATGACATCGCTATAGATGTAGCCCGTCATCGTTGCACTCTGAACATGCAGGTCAATTCTGGAACCAAGACTAATTCTTCCCCAAATGACCCATCCTGCACCACCGTAACGGTGTTTCCTTGGTGGTAACGGGTACCTGGCTCCCTCCATATGAAAGTCCGGTGAGAATCAGACTGCAAACTAAACCTGCCCTCGTTCGAAAACATCACACAAGACCACTGTTGCGGTGTCCACAATGCATGCTCTCTACAGCAGGCGACAGTGAGTTGCGGTAAGTGGAACACATCTGACAGGCCTATGAGTATATACACCAATGTGCCCTAAGCGTCTGTACACGGTCTGCCTTGAAACTGTCGTACTGGTAGCTGAAGAGAGCTGACGAGACAGGTCTTATGCTGTGCTCAGTCTGTTTCTTTTGGCAGTAACTGCCAAATACCGGTCTTCATTCGGTGTTGTAACTCGGGGGCGACCTGTGCTGTAACGTCTACTCACATTACCATCATCTTGGAATCGTTGCCAAAGCCTGGAGATGACCCTCTGGGTGATTCCAAGTTCTTCGGATACTTCCAGCTGGGTACATCCACATTCCAGTCGTCCGATGATTCTGCCACATAAAAAATCACCCAAATGCTTCCTTTGTGCCATAACTATACGGTTATTGCACTGAAAGGCTTTTAAAGCGCTTGTGAACAATTTTACTTCTTTGCCACCATTCCTTATATACCCCTCTCTTACACTCTCGTCATTGTGCCATACTACCAGCGTCATCTAGTGGTTTCCTGTAATTTGCATATTCTTCTTCAGGATGTGTGTGATAATTCTACAAGTGAAATTTTAATTTTAGAGTTTGATTTCTGTGTGATTCTGAATTATCCTTAATTTATGGACATGAGTGTAGTTTATAATTTATTTCTTTTATTTTGTACAGCATGATCGTGTTAGGGTTATTTACAAGTATGCCCTTGATAACATACCAAAGGAGAAAGCCCAAGAACTGTTTAAGAACTACACCATCCATGAGAAGAAATATGGTGACCGGGCTGGCATTGAAAATGTCATTGTCAGTAGAAGGAAATATCAATATGAGGAGGTAATTAATTTGTTTTGCAGGATGCTTAGAGTTTTTAAAAGGTGCTTATTTTCAATTTTCGTTTTCTAAAAGCCATTAATAGAGATAGAAAATTTTATTTTTCTTGTTAATTTCGTCGTTGGTGACGTATTGTCACTGTCAAGCAAATAAAACCATCAATTGTCACAAACTTGCCAGCCCTGTCTGATTATGATATTTTTTTAAAGTGCTTAAAAATATTTTTTGAGTGCTTGAAAAGTGCTTATTTTTTGTTTGAAAATTTCGCTACATACTCTGTTTTAAATTTTTACGTTATAATAAAGGTAATAAAATGGCAATTTTATTCATAATAGCAATGAATTTGATTTTTTCCTCATATATTGGCTGAAAAGGAATTTTTTTTTAATAAACAGAAATCTATGTGTATAATATATATATATTGTCACACACACACAGTCAAACCTCGATATCTCGAACTTGAAGGGAGAGGAGAAAAATTCGAGATATCGACATCAATGTTATCGATGGAAGAATAAAGAAAAATGCTCTTTACATACCTTATTTACTATTCCATATTTATTCTAAAAACACTTTTTACACTTTCATTTAAAAAAAGATCCAATTATTGTTTGCTTTAGAGATGTGTCAGAAAGTTAGTCTATAACACTTTCTAAGCGGACTATAGCTTTAAATGTTTCCTCTGACATATTCAGCTGCCTCTCAATAAATCTCCTTACGGTGTCCACTGCAGAAAGTGCTTGTTTCAGAAAATCTTCGATATCCTCATCCTCTTCTGATAGTTCACAAGAAGCTTTCGTTTGAGAGATAATATCATTGTCATCCCACTGACCACACATTGTTACTGCATCATCTACGTTTACAAAGTCATGAAATTCCATGTCATCAAGCTTCATGAGTCCGGTCAATCTGTCCCAATCATTTTCGTTGTAGTTTTCAGTAGAATTAATGATATTGATTGTTTGACTACTTTTGTGATCTTTAATGAATCCAGACTTCTTGAAGCCATTCATTATTGTAGAGGAAGACACATCATTCCATGCCTTGTCAGCCATTCTTAAATTATTATTTTTTAAATATTTTTTTAATTTTAGAAAAAAAATCTGCACTTTCTATGGGAGGGGAAAAAATTCAAGTTATCGAGGGATTAGAAAAAAAAATTCTTGAAATCAAGTTTTTTTTAACATTGAGTGTATAGAAATTTGAAGGGAATTTTTATTTCAAAACAAAAATTCAAGTTATCGAGGGATTAGAAAAAAAATTTCGTGAAATCAAGTTTTTGTTTAACATTGAGTGTATAGGAAATTTGAAGGGAATTTTTTTTTCCTTCGAGATATCGAAAAATTCGTGAAATCGAGGTTCGACTATATATATATATACAGTGAAACCTCCGTTAAACGGACGTTCATGGGACCAAAAAATTTGTCCGTTTATGAGAGTTGTCCGTTTACGGGAAGGGCACCGTAAATTGTTTTTAGAATATTCTCAAAGATGTAGAAATAATTAAATAATATCTACAAGGATACTCAGTAAAGCACAAGCCCAGC